AAGTGTCACGCTCTGCTTTCTAATCACAAAACTGGACCAGATATTGGCAGTGGTATGTGCTTTTCTTCTTATAGCTGAGCCTGACACCTAGTAGATACTGAATTATTTTCCCAAAAGAAAGACTAAAAGGAGAGAGAGAGATCCCCTACCCAAAAAAAAAAAAAAACCCCACAAAAAAGTCAAAAAGGAGAACATTAGACAAAGGTTGCAACATCTTTACAACGCCACATCGCCCATCCTATTAAAGCAATCGATTGTTCACCTAATGGCTGATTCCCCCACATCCCCGACCCTCAGAATTAACCAGACACCGTCTAGACACTGTCTCAGTGTCATCAGAATATTTAAGGAATTTTCAGTGGTTCACATGGCCTCCTTGTTATAGGCAGCCAATCGGTTAAGGGGCAAGCCTGTGGATAACGCACCACATGGGAATGCCATCTCCTGCACCCAGCCTGCGTGGCCCGGAGTGAGTCCCCAAGCTTTTCTGAGTCGGTGTCCCTGGCTTGACAGTGGAACTAACAACACCGACCTTGTCAGTGGGGCTGGAGGGATTAATGAGAGAATACCAGGAAATTGCTCCGCACAGATCCTGGCACCTGAGCACCTCCATAAAGGGGACCCAGGGACTAGTCACAACTAAGGAAAGAAAACAAAGCCAAGTTTCTTCTTTTTCCCAGGGCAGCATAGCATCATGGAGAGACACAAATCTGGGGGGTTCAGGGAGCTGAGGCAACCCCCTGCCACTGCGTGAAGTCAGAACTTTCTACCTCTAAAGCTCAGGACCTTGTCTCACCCGCTAAGCTGGCTCATCTGCCGGCGGCTCTGTGGCCCACACACATCTATTCCCCCCCCTGGTTCTCAGGTGTCTGGTTTGCAACACCCGCCTGATCCCCAGGCTGAGCTGCCCCAGGAGAGCTGGGCAGGCTCCTTCCAGCTCAAAGATCCAAGAGTCTCTGCAGACACGGCTTTCAACTCTGAATTAGAGCAAGGTGCCACCTCACAGGAAGACATCGGGTATAAAGGAATAATGAACAATCATTCCGTTTCCGTTCTTCAAAGAGAAGCAAGCTTTGAAAAGGAGAGATTCTCCGAGCAGAGAATTCAGAAACAGAGGGAGACGCCCAGCCAGTTAGCCAATGGTTAGCGCCAGGCTCCTGGCTTGCCTGTTAGTGCAGTTCCATGGATTTGTGGTTCATTTCACAGACCACAAATATTGATTCAGTTCAGTTCAGTCGCTCAGTTGTGTCCAACTCTTTGCGACCCCATGGACTGTAGCCCACCAGGCTCCTCTGTCCATGGAATTTCCCAGGCAAGAATACTGGAGTGGATTTCCATTTTCTACTCCAGGGGATCTTCCTGACCACGTCTCTGGCGTCTCCTGCATTGGCAGGCAGATTCTTTGCCACTGAACTGCTCAGGAAGCCATGCTGACTGCCCTCCATAGCATCAACCAGATTAGATTTTTGGTGAGTAAATAACAACTCCTGAGTCACAATATCCCAAAGTCACTGTCTTCTACATTGGGATTTAGGAAGTCAGGACTGATTCTTTTTGTTTACGTAAAATTGGTTTAGCCACAAAACTCCTTAGTGGGGGGAAATGCATATTTCTTTAATACAGAAGCAAGCCAGTTTGAACCTCAGACCTTTGAAGACCACGGGTGAAATGTGCCGACTTCGACAAATGAAAGCCAGCACTTTGGCCTGGAATGCTGGCAAGCGTCTGGCTGGACAGGGTTATTTTAGGTTCAGAGAAAAAGTCCAATATAAAAACAGATGAATGAGTAGCAACTCTGAGGAAGTGGAGGGGTGGGGGATGGGAAGCTTCCCCATGTGAAGCTTCTACATCTATAGGGTGTATAAGGGTCTATAAGGCCTCTATAGAACTCTTAAGACTTTAAAAAAAAAGAAAAAGGTCAAGATTCATGAGAACCCAGACTAAAGTCACTGATTTGGCCTAATTCCCTCAGGTTGGATCCCTGGGTGTGGAAGACCCTCTGGAGTAGGAAATGGCAACCTGCTCCAGTATTTTTGTCTGGAAAATTCCATGGACAGAGAAACCTAGTGTGCTACAGTCTAGGGGGTCACAAAGAGGTGGACACGACTGAGCATGCACGCGCACACAGGCACACACAACCTCTGTTTATAGATGACACACTGGGGCCATTTTGCCTTCATCCTCTTGAGAAAACATCCCAAACATCCTTCTGGTTCACTATGGTTAGTGTGGTTCCCATTAAGCACATTGATGCTGCTTGTTCACTGGGCCAGAAACAGTGCCCGGGGTACCAGGCAGAAATACCCACCCGCACCCTCCCCCCAGCCCAGGATACGATGGTGGGAACAACGTCTCATGTCACGTGACACAGCTGATCACGTTCTCCTCCTAGATATTTCCTTCTGTTGACTTTCAGCATATTTCTAGCTCTCCTTCTTACTGGCTGCTCCTCTCCATCTCCTTTGCTGGCCTTCCTCTTCTGCTCAGACCAAGGAAAGGCTCAGTCCTTGGTGCGCTGGTCTCCTCTACACTCACTCATTAGGTGATCTGGTCCTGTCTCATGGCTTTGAAAACCACTCACATGCTACCAACTCCCAAGTTTGTATCTCCAAACCTTCCTCTCTCCTGAGCACCAGCCATGACTGTCCAACTAATACCTGACGTCTCCACCTGGATGTCTGAAAGGCATCTCAAACTTAGCAGAGCCCCATCTGGACTCCTGATCTTTCCACTGTCTCAAACCTGCTCTTTCTACATCTTCCCCTCAATGAAGGAGTCTTTGGGGCCTAGAAAAGAGAGCAACAGTCTCAAAGGCCCCTTGCTGAACCATCTAACTTCGGAGAAAACAGAACAGAACTTTAGTTCCACCCTGATGCTCCAGGCCGGTTGCATCTATCTGGGACTTATCAACCCCTGTCCAGAAACTTTCCACCCCCTACACCTGCCCAGAAGACTTATCGCCCCCTGTCCGGAAACTTTGCACCCCCTATACCTGCCCAGAAGACTTATCACCCCCTGCCCAACTACAAATGTCATCTCAACAAAAGAATACTCAAAATATCCCGCCTGATTAACGTTGCCCTTATCGCTTCCACAAACCTCCCTATAAGTATGAAGCCTCCCTGACCCCTCTCGGCGCTCAGCCTGATCATTAGGCCGACTGTCGCCCCTCCTTACCTGAATAAAGGTAACCTACTTCTGTTGAGGTCGTCTTTCCTTTTCTGCCTCGCCCGAACTATACCCTACACTCCTAGTGTATGGCAACTCCATCCTTCCCGTTATTCAGACTAAACCCTGGAGGCACCCTTTTCTCCCCCAATTTATCCACCCCACCCCCACATCCTTTGTTTTCTATGGCTGTAATTCTGTTTGTTTGTAAATAAGTAGTTCATTTGTACTGTTTTTTAGATTTCACATATAAGTGATGTCATATGATACTTGTCTTTCTCTATTTGACTTACTTCACTTAGCATGATAATCTCTAGGTCCATCCATGTTACTGAAAATGGCATTATTTCATTCTTTTGAATCAGCAGCATTCCACTATATATGTGCATCGCATCTTTATCCATTCATCTGTTGATGGAGACTAGGGATGCTTCCATGTCTTGGCTACTATAAATACTGCCAGTCTGAACATTGGGGTGATTATATCTTTTTGAATTCGAGTTTTCATCTCTTCTGAATATATACCCAGGGGTGGGATTGAAGGATCCTACTCTGTTTTTAAAGGGACTTCCACACTGTTTTCCGCAGTGGCTGCACCAATTTACATTCCCACCCACAGTGTCAGAAGGTTCTCTTTTCTCCACGCCCTCCTGGAGGCACCCTTGTTGTTCTTCTGTCCTCTCACACCCCACAGCCAATGCGGCCATGACATCTTGCTGACTCCTCCTTTCCACTATGGCCCATATCCAAGCACCCACCCTGCCACCACCCTGGTCCAGGCCACCATCATCTCCTGCCTGCAATACTCTACGAGTCTCTGCCCACTAGTCCCCCTGCCTTCCCTCATGCTCCTCTAGCATCCACTTTCAACCAACAACCAACTTCAAAAAGATTCTTTTTAAATCTTCAGTCAGATCTTCAAATCTTGACTCAGAACCCTACAGTGAACTTTCCAGCTCACCAAAAACTTTCCAGTTCACTAAAAACTTTCCAGTTCACTGAAAACAAAAGCCAAAGTCTACAGTGGCCCATAAGGGCCTACTTAGCCTGGCTCCTCAGGACTCTCTGCTTCTCTATCTTACCCCTGGCTCGCTCACTTCTATCCACCACACCGGCTTCTTTGCTATTCCTGCCTCAGGGCCTTTGCACTGGCTGTTCCCACTGCCTGGTACACTCTCCTCACCTCCTTCACCTTTCTCTGCACCAAGATCACACGGTCAGTGAGACAACCCTGACCACACTATTTATAATTACGACTCACCATCCCCAGCCCTCCAGATTCTCCCCGCTCTGATCTATTTTTTCCATAGCATGTATCAACTCTAACATGTTTCTGTTAGAAGTATGTTTATTGTTTAGGATCTTATGTTTATTGTTTAGGGTCTCCTTATGTTTATTGTTTAGGGTCTCCTTCCACTAGAATGCAAGTTCTATGAAGGCAAGAATTTTTGTCTGTTTGAACACTGATGTATGTTAAGTGCCCAGAACCATGCCTCCTCCACAATAGGCTCTCAATAAACATTTATTGAATGAATGAAAAACAAATGATTACTTTGAAGCTTATAGATCACTTTCACATCTGATGATTCCTTTGAGCCTCAAAACTCTGTTGTTTTTTATTTTTTTCAGATAAGGAAACAAGTTCAGAGAGGTTAAATAACTTGCCTGAGATCACACAGCTTGTTTCACAGTGGACCTCATACTCTCTTGCCCTTAAACCCTCAGGTGCCTCTGATTTAACCACACTGGCAACAGCCCCGCCAAGGCCCAGGCCCCACCCAGCTCTCTCCTGTCCCCCCAGACTTATCCCCCACCATGCTGGGGACCACGTTTACAGGTTTAGTGATTATTTTTTCCCCCAGAGGAGCATTTTGTACACTTTCCCTAAAATGAACTCATATCTGATTTCTAGGGACCATCTGACACAGACATCAGCTTCCAAGGCCAGCTTCTAACCCCAAGTCCCCCCTCCCGAATACAGGAGGGACACTGATACACTCGCCACTCCCAACCTTCTGTGACACGTGCATCATCACACCTGGACATTCTGTAAGGGATGAGAGAGGCGGTGCAGACAGCAGGGAGGGGAGAGAAACCCTGCAAATCAAGAAGAGGCCCTCCCAGTCCTTTCTTAGCAACCAGGGGCTGAAATGCGAGGTCAGTAAGTGCCACTTAAAAACCGCTCCTGCTCTCCTGCTGAGAACTTTCTTTCAGGCCTGAGCCACAGGAACAGCTACAGCAGCAGCTCGTTTATTTCTGCCCCATCCATCACCTCTCAATTGTATATCTGCTCATGATGACTCCCTTTTTTTTCCACAGACTACTGGGAAGCACGAGGCAGCACATGGATTCTAGTTTTTACATGAGTGGCCCCCTGGTTTCCTGGTTCTCCTGCTCACACATGGTAAACTGTAGCATTTCTTGGCTTCCATAACCATGTAAGCCAAATCCTTTAACAAATCTCCTCATATATGTGTGTGTGCACGTGTGTGTGTGTGCCTGTGTGTGCTCATTCGTCTCCAACTCTGTGTGACCCCATGGACTGTAGCCCGCCAGGCTCCCCTGTCCATGTAATTTTCCAGTCAAGGATATTGGAGTGGGTTGCAATTTCCTACTCCAGGGGGTCTTCCCTACCCAGGGATCATACCCTCGCCTTATGGCCTTACGTCTCCTGCATTAGCAGGAGGAGTCTTTCCCACTGCACCACCTGGGAAGCCCATACAGATGTATATATTCTTCTGGTTCTGCTTCTCTGAACAGCTCTAACACTGGGGTAAACAATCAATGTTCACTTTTACCATTACCTACTGCTGGTAATGGGTTTCCAAAGCGTTGCCTCTGTGACACTTGCAACCGTCTATGAATACCAGAATCTGGAAGTATCATGATTTCCTGTTCCTACACAAGGAAACCGAGGCTCAGAGGGGTCACAGACTGTCCAAGGTCACACAGCATGGGCACACCCTGCGAGGCCTGAACCGAGGTCTTCCCACTCACTGGAAGGCTCATCTCCCCTCCTGCACCCCACTCTCTCCCACCCCGGGCTCCCCACAGCCCCCAGCCGTTCCACAGGATACTGCCATCAGAGGCCGTGAGATCACCAGCTTGCTCGTGGTCTGTTCCTTAATCCACAGTCCATGCCGGGAGGCAGGCAAACTTGGGGCAGCAACCAAATCAGCAACAGGAGTGGAAGCAGGTGGGGAGGGTGTGGAGGAGGTCAAGACACAGAGAGAGGTGGGGGGCCTCACACTGGCCCCTGGAACTGAGCCTTTGCCCCCTCGCCTGCACCAGCCTGCCCCAGTGATCTGAGTGTGAAGCAACGACAGACTCATCAACTGGCCCCCAAATGGCAGCTGCAGGATGGAGAGACCAGGGGGGCAGGGGTTGGTGAGAAGGCGTCGAAAGACAGAGGAACAAGATACAGAATTCAGAGATGCTAACATGGGGAGGAGATGCAGACTCTTCACCCCCACCCTCCCTGGAGGCAAACTCCAGCACCAGAAGAGAATTTCACATCTTAACCCCAGCCCCACGCCAGGCTCCAAATGTCTGGTGTCCCCGTGCTGGTCACAAATACTCCCGGAAGCATGAGAGAGGGGCAGCTGGACTCATCTCACATCTGAGGAGGCTTTGTCCTTGCATCACGTGAACCTCTCCTAAGTATTCCATTGGCCAAAAAGTTTGTTTGGGCTTTTATTAAGCTGAGATGGCAAAACCCAAACAAACTTTTTGACCAATCCAATAGTTCCTGCCATGGGTGCAGTTTTACTTCTGGGTGATTTTTTGTGAATAAACTAGACTTGCCTCAGGCCTTCAAGCTGCATGAGGGCATGTGAAGTTTTGTTCACAAGCATGAACCCAGGCCCTGATCCTCAAAGTCAGCCAAGAAAAGGCTGAAGGGCCTAAGGGAGGGAAAAACCATGTATTCATGTATGCTCCCCAGTATTTGACACTTTAGAGGTATTCAGAGAGAGAGAGGAGGTGATCTGTGTGTGCCTGCTTCTCACAGGCATCCTGACCCCCTGGCTGGCATTGTCAGCTGGATTAGGAAGAAACAATGATACACATTAGCCCAACTCCCACTGAACCCAAGCAACCTCAGCCTCCTTCAGGTTCTACTTACCCTGTAGAGCTGCCTCTCTGATTTGCTCTCAGATGTTCACGAACTGGGGAACCACTCGCTTGATCTTGCCTTCTGCATACCTGAACTGCACAGTCATTGCTTCCCTTGGCTCAGCCACAAGCTAATCGAGACCTCTGCAAGCTTCTAGACTAGCATACCTTCTGCTGTGAGGTGCACACAGAGTAAAACCCACAGTGTTACACCCAGGCTGTAAGTTAATCTCCAAAACTGCTGTCTGTTGACAAGGCAGCCTCTCACCCCACTCTGCCGCCCAGGAGTGATCTGGTTTGGAGGAGACAATGCATCACAGTGGAGGAGAGATGAGCTAAGAATCCAGAAAGCTGGGTTACCGGTCCAGCTCTGCCACGGAACCTTGTGACCACGGGGAAGGCAGTATCAGTGTCTCACTCTGGGCCTCGTATTCCCACCTGTAAAATGTGAGAGGTGAACCAGAAGCTTCCTTGGCATGAAGCATGGCATGGGTGGGAGGCAGGTGCAATGTGAAGTCTCTCAGGCTCAAGTTCAAATCCCTGCTCTGTCATTTCATGTCTCAGCAACTCTGAGAAAGTTACTGAGCGCTTGGTAGCCTCAGATTCTTCCTATGTAAGATGGAGATGATAACAATACGTCACTGGCATTACTATGTTCACCTTTCCCTTCCCGTCTGCTCTCCAAACTGCTTTTTAAAGCACAAATCTGATCACAGGGGTCTCCCTCCTTGAAAAGTGAAAGTGTTAGCCACTCAGTTGTGTCTGAATCTTTGTGACTGTAGCCCGCCAGGCTCCTCTGTCCATGGAATTTTCCAGGCAAAAATACTGGAGTGGATAGCCATTCCCATCTCCAGGGGATCTTCCGGACCCAGGTATTGAACCCAGATCTCCTACACTGCCGGTGGATTCTTTACCATCTGAGCCACCTGGGAAACCCTCTCTACCTCCTTAAAAGCTTCTAAAGGCTCTCCAGTGTCCTTGGAGAGAGACAGAGCCCTTACTCCGGAAGACGCTTACTCCAGCCTCTATCCAGCCCCCCTCACTTGCCTTTCCCATTCCAGTCACACTGGCTGCTCTCCTCTCACCATCATCCCTTCTGCCACAGGCACTTTGCATACTGTTTGCATACATGGAATACTCTGCTACCTTTCCAACCAAACATGCCATGCTTCAACCTCACTCAGGCCTCACTTCCTCACTCCTGACTACATCTAGAGTCTCAGTAAAGACTCTTACAGTCCCCTGTATTTCTCCTTTGTACTCACTGTCACAGTTGTAAATTTACATCTGAATGATTGCTTTGGGGCTTCACTGGTAGCTCAGCTGTTAAAGAACCCGCATGCCATGCAGGAAACACAGGAGATGCAGGTTCAATCTCTGATCGGGAAGATCCCCTGGAGAAGGAAATGGCAATCCACTCCAGTATTTTTCCCTGGAAAATTTCATGGATAAAGGTGCCTAGCAGGCTACAGTCCATGTGGTCACAAAGAGTCAGACACGACTGAGCTCACACTAGAGGAAGGAAAAGGATTCTTTGATGACAAAACTAAGTCTTGCAGTCTCCATGAGGACAGAGACCATGCTGCTTAACATGGTCTAACATAATGCCTGTAGAAAAAAATTTTAATGAACACAATAAAATCCAACAATGCTGACGTCTATTAAGCAGTTTCTATATGCCAGTCACCACCTAAAAGCCCTAAGAATTAGGTTTTATTGTTTTTCTCATTTAACAAAAGGAAGATTGAGTTGCAGAGGGGTTAGGTAAGTTGCCCAATATCACACAGCTAGTAAGGTGTTTAATCATATAAGTCTGCTTATTGGAAAATTATTTAAAACCTTTCACTCAACAGAAGAATCAGGGTACTGGGAACAGATCTTCAGGCAAGGAGGCTGGCACTTCTTAAGCACTTCATCATCATCATCATAATTGCTAACAGACAATTGATGTATTCAGTTATGGCATGTTCAATATTATTCTGAGGATTTTACGTAAATTAACTTATCTTCCCAAAGACCCTACGGGGGGGAGTGCTGCCATTATCCTCATTTAACAGATGAGGAAACTGAGGCTTAGAAAGATTAACTGGCTTGCCCACAGTTACCTGGCTTACAGGTAGTAGAGAGTGTGTGTGTGTGTGTGTGTGTGTGTGCGCGCGTGTATGTTAGTCACTCAGTCGTGTCCGACTCTTTGCAACCGCATGTACTAGAGCCCACTAAGCTTCTCTGTCCATGGAATTCTCTATGTAAGAATACTGGAGTGAGTAGCCATTCCCTTCTCCAGGGATCTTCCCGACCCTGGGACTGAACCTGGGTCTTTTGCATTGCAGGCAGAAGTAGAGAGTGGGTCCACCTAATTCCAGCATCTGGGAAAACCCAGCCTGTGATTCTCAGGGAGGACAGATTTCCCACCAAGTTTCCGGTTTCTGCACTCAGTTCTAATAAGCAGACTCAAGCGCCTTCTAGCACTGAGCCTGCCCAGCTAGACAGGGTATGGACAGGGCTATACCCCGGAGGCCACAAAGCCACCCGCTGCTCCAGGGCCTCAGCTGAGGCGGCTGCATAGCATCGTCATGAACAGTGACTCACGGGGCAGCCATGGAAAAGGAAGACAGTGGGGGCTAAAAAAAGACCTGTGACCACATATTACAGAGAGGACGATCATCAACCATGACCACCAGGGCAAGCCCTGCCTCCACTCCACACACACCCTCTAGCTGCACTGGAATCCTGCTCAGGGATCCTCTCAGAGGCTCCTTTGAACCAGACTTCACCACTGGGCCTCAGCTGCTCAGGGAACAGGCTCTGAAGCCCAAATTCTAACTCTACCCCTCAGTAGCAATGGCATCATGGACCAGTCATGGAACCCATCCGAGCCTTAGTTTCCTCCCCAGTAAAATGGGGATAAGAAACACCCACTTCACAAGAACAGTGTGGAGATGAAACAAGCTAATGTGTGTGAAAGGCCTCGCACAGTACTCAGCTCAGCAGCTGTCAGTTCCCCCCGGGATGAAAGGAAGGGGGTGGCGGAGCGGAGAAGACAGGCACATAGTACCATTTTCCTGGAGCGCCCACTCTTTGGGGTTCATATGTTACCTGCACCTGAGAGCTTCATACCAATTCACTGTGAATCCACATAGCATCCCGCTTCCAGAACATGATGTCAGTAACAAGAATACTCGCTAAAGAATAACAGTTGTTAAATATGTACCATGGATGAAACACTGGGGAACACATTTTGCACTTATCACATTATTATTTTAATATTACTTTGATCATCATAAACATTCCATAAGGCAGTCCAGAGCCATACTGCCCACATTCAAATCTGACACAAACGCTTACCAGTTGTGTCAGCTTAGGTAAATTCTTTAAACTTCCTGTTCCTCAACTTCCTAATCTGTAAAGTGGGGATAATAATAATAGCACATATTTCATAAAGTTGTGGCTAGGATTAAAACAGTTAATACATGATGGCAGAGATGTTTACTGCCCTACCCAAAATTAATGCTCCTTTAACAGCGTAGAATTGTGGCTAGGAGTGGCTGCCCTGCTGGAAACCATAATTTCCAGTCCCTGATATCTAGTTGAGGCCATATGACTAAACTCTGATGTTTGGAATGTGGAAGAAATTAATATACCCACACTCAAGACTATCCTATAAAAACCTCCCCATCATCTTCACTGTTGCCCCCAATAAAGGAAATTCCTGAGAGTCGCATATTCTAGATGGCCGATCCTCTATCAGATTCCATGAAACAGAGCATCTCCTTCCACTAGCTTCAACTGGACTCAATATGAATGAGAAAACAACTTTGACTGTGTTCAGTCACTGAAATGTTAGAATTTAACTGTTGCAACAGCTTACATTACCCTAACTAATAAAGAAACTGAAATTGACACTGGAAGTAGGGTACTTATATATGTGGCATTGGCTTAGAAGTCAGATGGTAGGTTAAGATGTTCAAGCCTGGAAAACTGGAGCCTCATGTTTTGCAGCAGTGAAATGTTTAGTTAAACTGTCACTATGATAATTTAGAAGGCAGAACTTATGCCTACCAAGCCTGTAAGCTCTACGGAAAAAAGATTGAAAAATAATGGGTAAGAGGGTTTGCTGCTTGTTCTGGGCTAAGTTTAGTAAGATATTAGGGGAAGAGAGGATCGCAGGCATGAACCAGTCAGTTAGCACGTAAAATTGGGGAGGAGTAGTGGAGACATGCAGAAGACAGCTGTTCCTAGATACTGAACAATAAGAACAAAGATTGAGCAGACTTCTAAGTGAAGCATCAGTTAGAACTGTACATGGAACAACAGACTGGTTCCAAAGCGGGAAAGGAGTATGTCAAGGCTGTATATTGTCACCATGCTTATTTAACTTATATGCAGAGTACATCATGAGAAACGCTGGGCTGGATNCGATATGAGTTTGAGTAAACTCTGGTAGTTGGTGATGAACTGGGAGGCATGGCATGGTGCAATCCATGGGGTCACAAAAAGCCTGACATGGCTGAGCGACTGAACTGAACTGAACCCAGTGAAATAAATGTCAGATAGAATGTATAAGGTTCCCACCTAAGCCTGATGGCCTCATTAAGTTGAGAAAGAAATAGAGGTTTGAGGTGAAGGAAGAAATAATCCAGGCTTGAGAATTAGGTCTAGGAAATAACTGGCTGCTGGTAAGCTCAATGTCATAGATGAAAATCCTACTGAGCTGTTGAGGGAATTGCAATGGCAAAATCTATAAGCCTGGATTTTAAAAATCTTTTACTGTTAAAGCATTAAAATAATCCTTGCGTGCATGCAAAGTTTCTTCAGTCATGTCTGACTCTTTGCAATCCCACGGACTCTATGTTAGCCCACCAGGCCCCTCTGTCCATGGGATTCTCTAGGCAAGAATACTGGAGCAGGTTGCCATGCCCTCCTCCAGGGGATCTTCCCGACCCAGGGATCAAATTTGCATCTCTTATGTCTCCTGCATTGACAGATGGGTTCTTTACCACTAAAGCCACATGAGAAGCCCCAAACAATCCTTGGGCCCCTTAAAGTTCAAGGCAAAAACTAGATTACTAGATTTAGAGCCTCAAAGAGGTCATATTCCCTAAGACCCACTTGAAGGGTGGCCAAGAAGCATCAGGAACGGTAATCCTCCTACAGGGCAGAGCCGCAAGTGTGAAGAACAATGAACCGGGAAACTGCTCCCCGAGAGCAGAAGTGGGGCTTAAGCAAGGAAGCCTCACCCATGGTCTGCTGGGCAGACTTCATAACTACTAGGGGCCAGTGACTTCCGTGTATCTCCCACCATGGCCTTTTCCTAATGGGTTATCCTCCGACATGGCATACAGGCACAGAGGGGAATATAATGAGTTTCTTTTGGATCCTAGGTCCCTGAACCATGAGGAGCCACATTCAACCCCATGGATAGGACAGGAATTCACCCAAAGATCCAGAACTTCAAGTTGAAAGTAGTGACAGGATAAAACATGAGGATCCTCCCTTAGAGGAAGGGAACCATGTTTTGTGCTCTGAGAAGAAGGAAACATGGAGATATTTGCTGGCCAGAGGGCCCATGACATACCTGGCCAGTGATATACAAACATGATGATGAAGGCTCCTTTCAGGCTTAGCCCATAACACCATTCTTAAGATGCCTCACGTTCTCCTTCCTCTACCTATGGGCTGGATAAATGTCCAAGGAAGGCCCTAAAGGCCACAGGTTGAACATAAAG